TTATGAGTCAAGCAAGTAGATTAAGGTCGACTGGATTATTGAAACACAGGAATTCTGTCAGATTCAGAACGACTGATCATACTACGTTAAATAGCTAGAAAGTAACTCACACATTGCAGTGCTTTCATTTGCATGTAATCCCACAATAGTGTGGGATAGTGTAAGAGTATTAAACAGTTATATACTTAGGTGAAGAAAGAAGTTAATCACATAGTTCACGTCTAATTCATGTGATAGAGATGACAAAACACCTATCCCAGATATGTCGAAAATTCCATCAAAAGACAGGAGAAAGTTAAACCGTAAAAAGCGTATTAGAAAGTCTTGTGAATACACTGATATAGTAATGAACAATAAATTGTGCTCAAAACGTCATCAATACTGTATCACTGTGTATTATGTCAAATAAACTTAGGCACAGCGGTTAGGACTCTCGCCGACCATACACATAGTCCGGCGTTCGATCCCCTGCTGATGCACACCTGATATCTATGGTCGGCCTATGAAATTTGGGCTACTGATATCAAATGCTGAAAACTGAATACTTGTAACAAAAATACTGTGTGGTTCCAGGCTGTAATAATAAAAATATGGAAATATATTCTACTACAAGGCCAAAATTCTACTCTTACGTTAATGTATTCGCAACCTGGCTCTGGTAAGTTGAAAATTCAACAGTTCAATAAATAATTACGTTTATTTATCCGTATCATATATTTCGAATTCTTTCTAATGCCTTTTGTGTGAAATACAAACTAGTACTGATTACTTTATCTTCAAAGTATTCATTTCTAAGGATGTATAACTGAGTAAATGTTTATTCATGTAAAAGTCTCTTACTATGTGATTGAGGAAGTGGTTTTATGTCTCTTTCTGTTTGAAAAGTAAATACGATTCATATTAGTTAAACTTAATTGATAGCTGAATATTACGTCATTAATTTTTATGTGTATTTTGATAATACGTATATTTGACTGCAAGGTAATAAAAAAGTAATATTAGAATTTGAGATTAGGAGTCATTGGCAATACGCACTCATTGGGTTTTGAACCCAGGACCTTCCAGTTACAAGGCAAGCTCGTATACCATTCAACCAATAGGACAACTGCTTCGCTACTACGGGATGCCACCGATAATTATACATCTCATCCAACAGTTGTACGACAATGTTGCGAGCCAAGTTATACACAACGGGTAACTCACCGAATCCTTCGAAGTGAAAACAGGATAAAGACAAGACTGACTACTATCTCCAACAATTTTCCTCACTGCAGTAGACTGGATAATGCGACAGACAGCAGGCAATGAGGAAACAGGCATAAAATGGACCCACACAAAAACGTGGAGGATGTGGACTTCGCCGATGATATGTTTTATCTCCCACAAACTGGACAATATGCAAGTGGAAAGCAACAAGTTGTCAGAAGAAGCATCAAAGATAGGACTTCAGGTGAACATAGAGAAAACAGTGGTGATGAAGATTCCTGGGCAGCACCAACAGCGACAACAACAACAGACAACAATCAGCATAAATGGGAGGAATCTGAAAGAAGAAACCTCCTTTACCTACCTACCTACGTAACTACCTGGGAAGCATCGTTTCAACTACAGGTGGATGGAGCTGATCAGGATATCAAAGCGAAAATCAGGAAAGCAATGTAAGCTTTCATTACTCTCAAGACTGCGTGGATATCAACACCACTCAACATGAAAAATTAGACCCGGTTTTTCAACTCCAGTTTGAAGTCAGTGGTACTATACGGATCAGAGACTTGGCGCGTCATAAAGAGCACCTCAAACAAACTACAGACCTTCATCAACAGCTGTCTTCTCTCACTACTCAAGATTAGATGGCCGGCCAGAAAAGATCAGCAACAGGGATCTCTGGGAGCGAACCAGCCCAGCAGGAACCGATTGTGAAACAAATGTGCAGGAAGAGATGGAGGTGGATTTGCCATACTCTGAGAAAACAAACCATCAAGTGACATCATACGCCAGGGCACCACTCGAGTGGAACCCTAAAGGGAAGCGCCGAGTTGGTCGCCCAAGGGTGACTTGGAGGAGGCCATGTGAATAGGAGATGAAAGCATGTGGGCAGACTTTGAGCCAGGTGAAGACTCTAGCAGAGAACCGAACGCAATGGAGACGTGCGGCTGAAGCCCTATGTTTTTCTAGGAATTAAAAGAAATAATAATAAGAATTTGAGTGTTAAATTAAATGAATAGCAAAGGTGAACATTTTTTGGTCATATAAAATGTCAGTTTTAACTTCTTCAGATGAATAATCAAAATCTATGACTTGAAAATGAACGGTGTAAGTTTTATATGAACTATGATCAAGATTTGACCGAATACTTCCAAAATAATTGGTCGCCGAGTGAGAAGTAGACATTTGTAAAAAAATTATATTTGTAAAATCTAAGCGAAATTGAAATGATTAATTCCTCCTGTGTTTCGTTCGCCAATCTGGTCCTAACTTCTTCAGGGAAATTAATCGAAATTAACATAACAGAAGTTCGGACCAGATTGAAGAACAAAATGTTGAAATTAATCATTTCAAATTCGCTGAGATTTAACAAATATAATTTTTTACAGGTGTAAGTTTTAATTACTGCCATCTGTCTGTGATGCGCTATTCTCTAAGCTGAAAGCTTGATTAGTGAAGCTTAAATTTTCCTTACATACAACAGTACTCTATTGTCTGGTAGATGGTAACTAGCAGTAGATCCCAGGATAAACATTTCATCCTTTTTGAAACTCGTCATCTGGATATACCTAAACTTCTAGTAAACGATGAGTGGTGTTTCCACTAAGACTGAAATCCACTGCAAGCTACCGTTAGCCAAACCACAATTTAGTCTTCAGAAATCGTTGAAGTATTTGTGCTAGGAGGCAACGTGTCAACAGAGACGGAATATTCTGGTCCAACATAATCTTTCACCGGGGAAATAAAAATTAACCTACGCTCACTGTGTTCTTTTAAAATCTTGTATCAAAATAAGCAAACTATCGAGGAGTTTAGTAGTAAATCTTGATCAATTGATATTCGGTTGGTTATTCATTATGCTCATTAGTGACGTTTATGTTTAAAAAAGTCTTAATATCTCAAGGGATAGGATTTAATTCAAAGATTTTCACAAGGAATTAGTTTCTTACTCGGTTAACTCATAATATTTATTATCTTTGTCTGTAATTCTTGATGTCATCTCTTTGAAAAGTTCCATAAGAGCTACTAAAGGGAGGCTCAAATTATGAATGATATAATGTATGAGTATATAGGCTCACCTCTTTCACAAGTACACTTCTGAACTGAGGTAAAGGAAATTATATTTCAAAAATATACTCATAACATACCCTCAGGGTGGTTGTATCAGTGTGTGAATGTTTTGAAACCACTAAGTTAATTTTGTATAGCATAAAGAATGAATGCATGTGAGCAAATACCATCACTTCTCAGTCATGTCACTACCCATCTTCAATTATTGCTTTTTTATATCTCTGTGAGCTGCACTAAGACCTCAACATTCCGATTAACAGCTCATGATAAAAATTAAAAAGTGTAGCGGTAAATAATTCCCCAAAATTATTGACCACAGCAATCATCACTGAACATCGGATGCTGACCCTCGCTGTTTAAGTCGACCTGTTTAGCTGAAGGCTTTCGGTCAAGCATCCTTGCCATTTGGTACTCCGTCGTGTCACGTGCGTGCACGATCACTAGCTAGTCAAGCACTCGATATGGTCTACTATTTGGTCCCAAAATATATCACGTACTTTGGACGACCAAATCTGGTCTTTTGCTTTATCTTTGGTACATGAAGAGCGAGTACTTAAGAAGTTGTTGGTTTAAGATCTTGCGTTAGTATACTCCCTACAGTTCGCGAAAGTCGATACCGTCAACCTCCAAAAAAGAAATAACTAATTTAAGCCAGAATTATTTTGCTGATTAGCACCTAGTTTAGGGATGTTATATATGCCTCAATACAGCTGCCTTTATGAACAAACTCATGGGAATGCAGTCAAACATGGTAAAAATAGGATGCAATCTTGAGTGCTCAAAGAAACCACTGGCATAGGAATTCTAACAAGACTGTCACCTAGAAAGCTATTTTTAAAATGTCTGACCACATATTAAAAATGAGCAAGAAACAAACAACTTTTTGTCATATCAACTGTATTTCAATCCAATGTCATTGTCATTGTTTTCATTATATATATTGTTCAAGTTAATCTGAACGGGATAAACTTTTGCATTCTAAGAATCATACACAAAGTAAGCATGTACAACATATGATTCATTCTACTCATTTCAAATAGTCAGACAAAGAATCTGCTTCATTGAGAAACAATGGACATGTTATGCTTTGCTTCTAAGTATCAATCATTGAAACAAAAGAAGCTTGTATACAGTATGTTTATATATCTCTTCACATATATATACATGTATGTAAGGCATGATGGAGAAATTAATGTAATACGGAATGCTTTTCGTCTATACATGTATATGTAACACTCTCCAACATGACTGTAAATCATTTTCATCGTTTATCTCTACAGCTGTTGAACCATTTTGAAAAGCGCGCGAGTATTGAACATTGAACAAACCATACATTAAAACTATTCAAATTTCAGTTGAATAGGAATGATAAAAATAAAATTCGAAAAAAAGTATCGAAAAAACGAAAATGTAGGAATAAAAAAATAATATTCATTTATTCATAAATTCATAAAACCAACAAAGGTTTTGAAGTAAGAAACAGATTTGTTTTTCTAAATGAATATACAAAATAGGATACAAAATATATTCATTGTTCAATTTAGGTTACATTTTTGTAAAATAAAAGAAGAAGCATTTCACTAGCATTGGTATGCATTCAGTTAAACCTGTATAAATAAATAGCACATTCCTAGTATGCAGTATTAATGCATCTTTTTGATAGTAAATACTTGATAATTACGGAGGATAATTTCTTCAGATTGAAAAAAGGATACACGGATGTCTCAGTCGGTTGATTGTGTTGCTTTTAACTTTATAATTTTAATTGGACGATCACTACTTTTTGGTTCATGTAAGAGATGGCAAGTTGAATTCATAAATTTATTCTGTACAGTTGATAAAACTTTATTTTTTTCTAAATTTTGTTTAAATGATCCTAAAAATTAAATGAATATTTATTAATGAAGAATTATGAATCATTTTGAGTAAAGTTAAAGAATACAGTAGAAAATTGTAGAATTTATAAAAAATATTTTACATATTCATTTCACATATACTATTAGTTTTTTCTATAGTTGGTTTGTAAGAATTAGTTTTGTTCTGACGAGTTGATCAAGGATTGATATCAGTTAGAGAACCATTGAAAACCAGCACTGCAGTACTGGACGGTTGTTTCATCCTAGTTTGGGAATCATCGGCAGTACGCACCCACTGGGATTCGAACCCAGAACCTCCCATTTACAAGGCAAGCTCGTATACCATTCAACCACTGGGACCCGAATCAATGGCCCACGACTTTTAACTTCAACCAGTTCATGATTTAGCGCGACCACCAACCAATGTCATCGGTGGGACATCCATCCTCACACTTGATATTGGTTGGTGGTCGCGCTAAATCACGAATTGGTAGAAGTTAGAAATCGTGGGCCATTGAGTCGGGTCCCGGTGGCTGAATGGTATACGAGTTTGTCTTGTAAACGGGAGGTCCTGGGTTCGAACCCCGGTGAGTGCGTATTATACTTTTAATTGATGTCTACAGGAGGATCCATTTACTCGAAACCCTCTTATATGGATTTCACGAGATTTTGGTCGTTTGGGAATATTTACGCACAATGTCAAATAGAGACTAACAATTTTCTCGATGTTCTGTTTTCCGTATTCTTAGGATTTTTTTGCCCAAAATTAGTCATTAGTTAAACACTGTCTTCGTGCTTGTTCCCTGATATTTTCGAAGTAAACAAAGTTTTAGAGTTGAACATAAATTTTGTTTATCCGTTATGATGCTGTTTCACATTGATTGCTACTACCCCTGACAAGCTGATTATTATTATTATTGTTAGCATTATTATCATATTATTATTGCCTCATTTAGTTCCTAGAGGAACATAGAGCATCGGCCACACGTCTACACTGTGTTCAGTTGTCCGACAACGTTTTCAACTGACTACACGTCTGCCCACATGCTTTCATCTCCTCTTCGCATCACCTCCTCCATGTCACCCTCACACTGACGACCGATTAACTCGCCGCTTCCCATTCGGGTTCCATTCCAGCACTGGCCTGTCGTGTGATGTCACTTGATGGTATGCTTTCTCAGAGTGTGGCCAATCCAACTCTACTTCTTCCTGCTTATTTATTTCACAGTTGGTTCCTAGTTGATTCGCTTCTAGGGATCCCCCACTATTCCTGACCTTTTCTCCCGGCCATCTGATCTTGAGCGACGTATTGAGCGAAAACAGTTGTTAATGAAGGTCTGTAGTTTGTTCGAAGTCGCCTTCATGATGCGCTAAGTCTCTCATCCGTGTAGTAGCAGTGACTGACTTCACATTGGAGTGGAAACTCTGGATCTTATTTTTCATTCTGAGTGCTGTTGATCTTCACAAAAACCTGAGAGTAATGAGAGCTTGCCTTGCTTTCTCGATCTTCGCTTTCATATCTTCATCAGTTCCGTCCGCCTATAGTTGAAATGATGCATCCCAGGTTGGTAGGTAGGCAAAGGAGGTTTCTTTTTTCAGATTTATCCCATTTATGCTAGCTGACTGCTGTCTGTTGTTCTTGCTGCTGTTGGTGTTAGTCAGGAATCTTCATCACTTGTGTTTTGTCAATGTTCACCGGAAGTCTTATCTTCTCTGGATGCTTCTTCTGTCAACTTGTTGCTTTTCACTTGCATATTATCTAGTTTCTGGGATAAAAGACATATATCATCCACGAAATGCAGATCCTCCATGTATTTTTGTGTGGTTCCATTTTATGCCTGTTATCTGTCACATTACCTAGTCTACCACAATCAGGAAAATTACTGGAGATAGTAGACAGCCTTGTCTTTCTCCCATTTTCACTTCAAATGATTCCGTGATTTTCCTGTTGGGGATTACTTGGCATTCAGCATCATCGTACAACTGTTAGACAAATTGATTAGGCTTGCATATTATAACGAAACGATTAGCTCTTCCAGGGAAAAGTAGGTTCCTACAGATCCTAATACTCAAGAAAGATGGGCTAAAATATACACCCGTTACTGTTATGTTGAAAGATGCTTATACTACAGAGAGCGATGAAACACAGAATAATAGTTCTTGTTGGTAATAGTGAAGCAGCTTTCAACTTGTGGACCCTATTAACTGAAGGTCTAGCCTTCTGCGGTTTTTCTTTTTTGCTTCACCTGTGAGGTAAGCATATTAATCCCTAGTGTAGTCCACATTGTGAAATCATGACATTTAACCTACGGTAAGCAGGAGATAAGGTTTCTGTAACGACGATTGGTCTAAGTGCAAAAGCGGAAAACCTACTGTAAAACTAGTCAAGTTATCTGGCTATAGTTGAAGGAAAACAATGAATCCAAGACTACAGACATTTTTAACATGACTAAATAATTTGTATACTGGCGTTGACATATTCTCTGTTTAACGTCTTTTCTGAGAATGATTACAAACTTCGATTGAATCATTCTCTTCCACTCCTGTGTGTATCTATTACAGTATCATTACGTATGTGTTTCTATACATTAGACTGATTTGCCGCAGTTATATTTGCAATCAAATAATTAGAATTATTTCAATAGCAGTCAATCTATCGATATAAACGTGATTTATTAAAAGGTTTGTGGGAAGACAATTGGCTGTCGTTCAGTACAGCTTCGTAATCAGTGTTCTTAAAATCCAACGCGTTGGTTAACTATCAGTATAGTCGCCCACACAAAGCTAAATGACTTGCATTTCCCTAAGTAGAATTGAAATGTTTAATAAAGAACTATAAGATTCTTTCAGATTTTCTGTAGTTTTTCAGCTAGCGTTCAAGATTGTCTTGAAACCATGCCTACGGAAGTATTCAAGACGTGAGAAGAGATAGAAAATGGGAATGGTTAAATTTAATTCTGAAGTTTTCTAAAATCTGTCTTAGAAGACATAAAATTTAATCACTTTTGAATATCTTCCTATGTTGATCCATCACCTTAGTTATCTATATCTGATAAAATGTTGAAGATATATTACAACACGAACAGAAGTTAGAATTCATGGGCCATCGGATCGCTCCCCAGTGGCTTAATGGTCTACGAGCTTGCTTAGTAACCGGAAGTTCCTGCTGTTCGAAACCTGGTGGGTACATACTTCTAAAAAGTCTCAAACTAGAATTGAACAGTCATCCAGTACTCCCCGACTTTCCAATGGTTCCTTAACCGATATCTACTTATGGTGAAATCCTGTAAAATGAAAAAGCTTTCAAGTAACGCCAACAGTTTTCTTACCGCTTCTTGAATTATGTCTCTCTAAAATAATTCTTCTCTCTTTTGGATACAATTTCACTGGTAAAGAATTAACATATTGACATTGCCGATTATTTTTCTGTTGGTGACTAGTATGACTGTATATTTGACATAGAAATGGCTTTTCCGATTCTTGTAACTTATAAACAGTATACGTTTGATCGTCAACGTCATAATCAACGTCCCCATCATCATCATCATCTCCAACATCATAGAAATCAGTAGAATTAGAGAAATTATCACTTCTATTGTATTGATCTGATAAAGATTTAGTTAATCCTCGAAGATTATTCTGATTATTGTATTGATTTGGTGAAAGGTTATACGTGTGATTCAACTTTACTTTATGAGGCATACATTGGTCAGTTATTGCTGCCGTCGCTGCTATTGACGATGATAATGAAAGGGTGGATGATGTTGAATATCTAGCAGAATTTGTATTTCTTGTCAAATTAGAATCATATGATGTTGTTTTTGGTACAGTTGGTGTTTTTATCAATTTATTATTATTATTAGTTTTGTAGATATTTTCATTTGAATTAGTCATACTACCACTACTGCTAATAAAAGATGGTGAATTTGTTGAATACTTTTTATATAATATGATATCTGAAGTTGATGATGACCGTTTTACTGGATACTTTACTTTTCCAACCTTATAAACATCAAAATCACTTTCAGTACGGTATGATTTTAAATTGGTACATTGAATTTTCTTTTCTTTTGTTGGTTTAACAAGATTTCCACAGCTTGATCTAATACGCTTCTGCTGCTGCTGTTGCTGATGTTGTTGTGGACGACTATAAGGCTGTCGACAAGATAGTTGTCTGACAGTGAATATTCTACCTGGTGGAGTTGGTGGTTTATCAAGTGAATATACCTCTTGACATGACTGAGATTTTATCATCTCGTTTTGACTTTCATTATCATAACTAGTTGATGTAATTGATTGTGTTTGAATGGAGCGTTTTTCAGATCTGTTAGTATTCCTAAGATTGTTTTGCCTCTCTTGAGAACTTTTAGAAGAACTATCACTTTGACGAAATAATGCTGATGATGGAGAAGTGTCGATTCTATGATACTGATACCTGGATGAATGATGAGAGTCATGGTTTATTGATGATGTGGGTGTATTGGTTTGTGTCCAAAAGACTTGATTGGATTTTGGAGTATATTCTGTAGTCATTAAGTGTATTCCTCTGAATAGAATAAGAAAAGGAATTGAAGAGAAACATAAATGTATTAAATTTAACAAATTTTGTGAATCCGAAACGCAAAACTAAGGAAATGAACTCGCAGTTTTAGTTACACATTATGATTAAGTTTATACTGGTTATAGGAAATAGGAGTAAATGAGAGATAATAGGTTAAAAACAATGATTTTAATGAGAAGTTATCACTACTAGTGTCTCAGTTTAGCTTTGCTGGTTGATAAATAACTCTTCTGTTTACCAATTTAGTCAGGTAACTTATGAATTCTAAAAATTTGTATGCAGTCGAGAACTCCATTGATCTGCAATTAGTAATGTTTTCTGAGCTTTCTTCATCCTTCTGGACAACATCGTCAGCACAAGTTTAGCATATAATGAACTGATATAAATTCTCAATGAATGATAGAATTGCCTCGCCTGGTAACCATCTTCATGGATAATAATAATAATTTGCTTTATTCTAAAACAGTACTTGTGATACAGAATGGAATTCTCAGCATTTTTACTACAGCATTGCATCCAGTTAGTACATTATCAATAAATAAAATTCTACATAGATTAAGGAAACCACAGTTCATTATGACAACAACATATTGGCATGTCGGTAGCAAAGCCAAAGCTGAACAGTGTTTGAAGGTGTTAGAAAAGTAGGTGATATCATATTTACTGGCGTAAGCAGAAGAAAGAAACAAAGCAGCACATAACGGAAAAAGAGAGAGAAAAGGAAAAGAAAGAAAAAAATGTTGTATCTATAAATGATACGAGTTGGACAGACGAGGTCCAGTTGTTCTACTGACTATTTAATGAATTATAGGTGTCACGCCTAGTGCTTTCTTTATCGCACAGAACACGAGCTAAGTAGGGTATGGTTGAGTTTTTGTACTTGCTAGTGCGAGCATACAGTTTTCTATATAGGCTTCTGGTTTCGCCTGATGAGATGCAAGGGGAGAGTTGTGAGTTAAGAGGGTGGTGTGAGTTAGATAAAATGGATTTGGCCCATTTTTCACATGAGTCCATGTGCCTGTCAACCAGAATATTAACAAGCTGGTTAAGTGGCACGTTGCTTACCCTGCTGACAACCTTTAACATCCTGCGTAATATGTTATAGTCTTTCTTCAGTAGCCCGGGAAAAACTAAGGGGGAACAATAGAGAATAATAGGCAGGATGCGAGAGTTAACGAATTGTAGGAGTAAGGGTTGGGTTATACCAGAATGTCTTAACTTCTTGATGTAGAAGGTAAGACGAAATATTTCTTAGAAATCGCCAAGATATGAGACGACCAGGAGAGATCAGCAAGTAGAATGACGTCTAGGTATTTAAAATCCGATTTGGTTTCTATTTCAGTGCCATCTATGTTGCGCACCTCGTGAGAGCTAACCAGTTTGTTTAGGTCGGATTTATGCCTAAAGGTGAAATTGACTGTCTGGCATTTGGAGGGGTTTAAGGTAAGACCGTTTTCCTTGGACCACTGGCTGATTTCTGACAGAAAGCCATTTAGTTTAGAGCAGTCACTTTGACATTTGACAGGCAAAGATACTGTCAGGTCGTCAGCATTTTTGACAAAATTAATGTTATTTGAAGATGGTAAGTCATGTAGAAAGAAAGAAAAGATAAGTGGGGAGAGTACAGGGCCTTGGGGGACTCCGGCTTCAGTGAGCACAGCAGAGAATCATTTACCTTTGTATACGGTGTACTGCATTCTGTTAGAGAAGTAGGAATGCAGCCAGTTAGTGACCCAGGACTCGGTTTTTGTCAAAGAGAGCTTATTTAGCAGGAGACATCTAGGTACAGAGTCGAAAGCAGAAGTGAAGTCAAGAAACGTGCAGCGGACGTATTTGGCACCTTTATCTAATGATAAGACGATGTTGTTGTGTGAGGCGGCTGCAGCGTCTAAAGTGCTCATACCCTCTCTATAGGCAAATTGTTTGGGTCTTCAAAACTTTTAAGTGAGGGTCAATTTACATTTGTATTGATAGACTACCAGCCATGAAGATGGTTACCAGGTGACGATATTCCATCATTCATTCTCGCTGTGATGTTAGTAAGGCCAGTGAAGAGGGAAGGCTGGGCGTGAGGCTAGCAACTCCACCCCATAAAAATAGAAACCCCGCTGTCGAAACTGCAAAGCTGTAACTTGAAGCGCTATGTTTCACTCGGAACGTAAAAGAATAAAAACAATATTTTTTTCCAAAATCAAACCAGTATGATCCATGTAATATAAATGAAAGTACAAAGATTGTTATTTAAAAAAAACTTACTTTTTACACAGATTGATCAGATAATCTAAACCTGATTTAGAAACTCCAGTCATTCCACAAACTAAAGGCATTATTTCAGCAGTTAATTCTCCTGACATAAATGTTGTTTGATCTGGTAAAATTTTATCTACACTCTGATGTGTGAATGATTCGCACGATAGATTTTCATCATTTTCAGGATTATGATAAACAGTTAAAAATACATATTGAAGTATATCATAGTAATATACCGATGGTGAACGTGAACCCAGTGTACCACCATGTAAATTTTTTTGATATGCTGTTTGTAGAAATGTTAACAAACGGTGTCCCTCTGATCCGTGTACAGGAAAGATACACTGGAAATTACCTAATGCAGCACGATAACGTTCATCGATTAGATTAACCAGGGTACGTAAGTCATCTGGAGTTAATTCGGACAACATATGACGTAGTGAATTAATGGGATCCTACAAAATAACCATGAAAGAGAATACGTATATACATAGATATAAGAATAAAACTTGGGCACTGTGGTAGAGTGTAATTCCATTATGGGCAAATTTTATTTTTATAGAGTCTCACAGCGTTATACAGTAATATTTACTGATGACGTTTCGAGCACAATTTATTGCTCATAATCATATCAAGGTACTCACACGACTTCCTAAATTCATTTATATAGTTCCATTGTTTTTCACTTGATTTGTTTGGTAGTAATATTTTCCATATTTCGGGAATGAGTGATGAATCATTTCTATTGCATGTGTTGGATGTAGAGTCAATGAACAAAGATTCAGTAATCAATCTCTCTCTCCATCTACCTTGATTACTTTTTAGAATTTTAACCCTCTCCCACCCTATTGTGTGGTTGTGTGTTAATGCATGCATTGCAATTGCCGAGCTTTTTTCTAAATTACTTATCTTCTCGGGGTCAATCATTCTTACCTTAGCTAAATTCTTATGTTGTGACAATCTGACTACCCCTGACCTACTAGTTTGACCTATGTAGTTGACTTAACTCACAGTCACTTCAAGGTATTTTGTAAATTATATTATTTTGTCTAATTCGGTGAACCGACAATGTCCTATAACCTACAGAGCTTGTTCCTGAGTGAGTTTGTAGGTTTAAATGCCACCTTAATTCCTGCTTTATTTAGAATCCTGCGTAGGGTCTCAGATGTCCCCTCTTTATATGGTATAACTGTAGATGACTTATATCCTCTCTTATTTATGTTCTTATTACTAGTTTCACAATTATTTTTCTTTTGACGTTTTACAATCTTCCCTCCTTTAAAAAATGAGTAAATTTTTAAGCTTAAATTTCAATGACCAATAAATTTCGTGTTTGCTCAGTGTTGTAAGTACGCCATTGTAATGAGTGCTGATAAGCAATAAATTGAGGAACATGGCTTACTGCTCATTGACTGCCTTAACAAGAAATTTGCACATACATTACATAATGGAAAGTTAGTTGAAGTAAACGTCTAAATCTGCTGCACTACATAAATATGTAGTTGATCTTACTTGATATGTATAACCTCCTTACGTGACTCAAACCAGCAGTCAGCGACTTTGTGCAGTGGGATCATGTTTTGGTTATATTACCTTTTACTCCTTTCTACCTGAATCCTATGTCAGTTAACATCATTTCTCGAAGCTGCCGATGATGCATTACACGTCATGCATATCCTCAGCATTTCAACCGATGCAGCTTCACAACCTCATTGGCTGTCTCTCTCTTCATATCTAGCACTGTTCACCTAACCTCAGCGTTACTGACTATATTATGTCACGTAACACAGTAGATGAAATATAAACATCTAAGGTCGAAGACGGCTAATCTTTTTATACATCCTACTCTCAGTTCATACGTCTTTTGATAATAACTATGATTGAGAACAATGTATATTAAAACAAAACTGAATGTGTAACCTTATGAAGGTTAGCCAGTGATTGGTATAAGTTTCGTTTTTATAAAATTCAATCTTTTGTTCGCTATATTCCCGCTCAAAAACACAATATATTGCTTCAAAAATATGTAAAGGTAACGCAATAAATATTTTTCTTTGAAATTTTATGGTTTCATATGGTTTGTTTTTAATGTTTTCCTATCAAAGTGAACACTGAAGCAATACTATTTTTCTCAATGATACACATGGATTAACCTCTTATCATTCTGGTGATTCGTGAAGTCTTCATTAGTATAAAGTTTTGTTTCTCTATCTCTCATATTTATACGTGTTCACATGAAGTGTGATTATTTGAACCTTTACATTTCTGTGCATGATATTCTGATTTGTCCATATTATTTATTTTACCTTTTTGTAATTCTCTTACTGAAAGATTATCTATTATTATTCTCTTGGGTTCTAAATGGAATACAGAACTTCAGCAGAGCATCACCATTTTATCCTGTTCTGTGTTGTCTTATTCAGATGGCTTCACAGTTGCTCAAAAGCCTTCATTCCCTTTTCACACGATCTTCTTCATGTTATCCTCAGAGCCATGCTCAGTTCGTGGCTTCCGATTCAGGCTCCATTCAGCCACCTGATGTTTGATGTCACTCATCATCTCTTCAGTGTATGTCTAATCCACTTCCGTCTGCTGAATATTTGTTATGTAATAGGGTAATTGACTACTTCGTTGCACTACCATAGTTCCTTGTTGTATGTCGTTTCCGACCAGCTGTCTAATCTTCAGTATCTAACCAGAGAAGGTGATTGAGGCCTGTTGGAAATGCTTCTCGTTACGCTGCAAGTCTCAGAATCATAAAGAAGCACTGATTCGACATTAGTGTTAAGAATCCAGATCTTATTCGTTATACTGCGTGAAGTAGATTTCCGCACTGAATTCAGATTAATGAAGAGGTCTGTCTTGCTTTCCTGATCATGACTAGCTATGACATCCACATCCGTGATACCACTGGTGTTTGAAAAGATGCTGCTGTTGAAAAGAAGTAACCTGCTTCAAATTTCTGCCGCTAACAGTGATCATTGCTTGGTATAATAGTTAATTAGGTATCTTCCTATCTCCAATTGAAACATTTCACCAGTCTTTCTAATGTAAATCCTCTAGTATTTGACATCTCCATGTAACTGTTGAATTAGGTATGCTGAAAGAAAACTAATATTTATTTGAATATGGGCAAATTTGGAATTTCATAGTCTACGAAATATAGTTAAATATAATGCTAAGTGGAATTCATCTGTAATTGTCTATAAATATGGTCTATATATGATATCATAGTTTATTCCTGTTGTCTTCTGATTTAAGCAGTGGTTATCAAGATAGTAACTTGGCTTTCCCACAGTACATATGTATTCAAAAGAAACACTAGTGTCAGTAAAATGGACACTGACAGTAGATTTTTAATGAAAATTCATTTTATCTTGTTCAGCTCGACTAAGTCCGAAAGACGTATTTTAAAGTGCAGGATCTGGCAAGTACTCACGTCGATAAATGCAATTGTACTTGTAAGTAATACTTGATATCTTAAAAAAAACTAATAGAAAAATCTAAGTCTTCGCGTAACCTACCTTTTAGTTTTAATTTCATTCATGAACCTATAACGTAAAATAACATAAGAGATTGCAGAATATTGAACATTGCGTGCTGTAGGGTGTATACCGACCTCTTTTAGCTTTCTAGTAGTACGTATTTTAGTAAAACACAACGGATTTTCGCTATGTTACCTCTTGACTGAAGCATGTCCATGTTATGTCTTGCATCTGTCTAACTATCTATTCAGAGATGGTCAGATGATAATGTGGAGTGAGAGTGAACTCTTTACTTTTGGTTATCCATACAACATGCTTACACATTAGAATAAAACACTTCTCCGTTTTCTCAGTATATATATATATATATATATATGTATAATTGGAATGTATACGTAAACTGGTGATCACACCTGAAGGAAAACCCGATATGAAGACTAACTCACATTCTGTTGTCCAGACGAAAAACTGATTTAGTGTAAGTAGATCAATTTGAAAGATGTTTATTTAATTTTAATGTAATATCTAATACAGTTTAACTGTAAACATTGACTTATATGCATCGTTGAATACGAAGTATGTGTTTTTATTTGCTATCGGTGGGAACACCATCACTTACTGAGATGCAGGTATAATCTAGTTGAGGTGTCCCAAGTATGACGAAAAGTGCATTCCATACTCCATTGCCAGCCAATGTTGTTAGATGGTTGGAAGAAATCAGTAGAAAGCCTTGGACCTGTGTTTTGTTCTTGTTAACACTCCCCTGGAAGGCATATCTGCAGTCTTGAAAGAAATTATGTCTCCTCTGAGATTCGAACCCAGGTTACTCAGTGCTTCAGTCGAAGATGTTACCACTGGGTTATTCATGCTTGAGAATGACCTCTTGCATGACCTTTAAGGACTGAATCCATGACATTAGGTAATACCTAGTGTCCAATCAAACTACTGGCTAATATTAACCAAATACTATTACTTATTGCAAACCATAGATTGAGTTCTTCAAGGAAAACAGTACTTGTCTTTTCATCAGTTAGAATCAAAAGCAATTCATGCAAACTACGAATATCTAGTTGTTTCATTACCAGAGTGAGGAAAAACAGGCGATAAAAGTACACATCATATATTATTATTCATTTCTTCCATTCCGAGTAGAACATAGGACTTCATGAGCACACCACCATTATACTGAGTTCTCTTTCAACTTTCACTTTCAACTGGCTTTACAAATTTCACAATCTTTCATCTCCTCTTCACATTATCTCCTCTATGTCATCCTTGGAGCCGTGGCAAACAATTCACAAATCGCTCGGGTTTCACTCGACGGCCTGGCGCTTGATATTATCTGAAGATTTAATCAATTTATATTTCTTTTTAAACGCCTTTTTAGCGATAGTTCTTTGATTGGTACACTGCCACATTTCCTCATTGTATATATTTTCGGGACACTTGATCTTCAATTCTGGGCGAAATTGGCTATTAATGAAGGTATGCAGTTTTTTTGAGTGGCCCATGAAAGAATGTTTGAGCATAACACAAATCATTTATAGAGAAATAATGAAATTTACCTTTGAATTATCTCCTGCATTCAGTATATTTTTCTTGTTAGATTTACTCAATTTATCGGAAAGTTGTCTTGTTTTATTCTATGAACAAAAGGAGAAAAAATATTTAATGTCGCCTTTTCATCAAGTCATTAATCATGATTTATGTTAATGGATCTACTTGTTATCTGTTTAATTTGTATAAAAGTAACCTTCTAAGAAACACTGAGTTGTAATTAATCACATAATGAAAACTTAGAAGAAATTACAGGCACTTGACTTCAGTCATCTTTCGCTGATATGAAACAGTTTAACTGTGAACCAAAGGATTGATGGACAAAAAAAGAATAAGAAATATCTCCAACTCCCCGGCCTACATAACAGAATCAAGTAATGAAAATTTTGTTTCCTTTAAACATATGTAAAGCCAGTCTACGGATTATAATTTCCACATGAACTGACCATTATTCGCAGATGTAGGTTGAAAAACAAGGACGCTCAATATAATCGTTCTTTCTAGAGCTTATTTATTAACTAAGAAAGTCCTGCTTATTACCAGGTTCTTGTGAATTCATCAAATATTCGGAAAACAACTTGTCGATTTAAAAATGCCAGGCAGATAAGATAGTGAAAAATAGCGTCAAAGATGTATTTGAATTCGTAGACAAAATAAAAGATATTAATATCAAGGACAAAACCATGATATCTCTGAACATAAAATCGTTATTCACAAATGTACCTCTAATAGAAACAGCTAGTTATATATGTGAACAAGTGGACAACCAGTCGATAAACATTGGAATCCGTACTGAAATCCTAAAAGAATTGTTAATAAGATGTACCATGAATTTAAACTTCAAATTTGACGGCACGCTCTACAGGCAAGTGGACGGGTTGGCGATGGGCTCCCCACTGGGTCCCATTCTGGCTGATTTCTTTCTAAGTAAGCTAGAAAATGGACCTGTGAACAACCTTATCAGTAAGCTCTCATTTTATTGTCGATATATAGATGATACCTTTATTCTTTGTGATAATGGTTCTGATAGGAGTACAATAATTACTGAATTCAATGACGTACATTTGGCTATGAAATTCACATGCAAAGAGGAATCCCAAGACAGAATTGCCTTCCTCGATGTCCTACTTACAACGAAACCAGATGGTAGCATAAAAAGAAATTTGCATAGAAAAAGCACTTGGACAGGACAATATACACATTTTCACAGCTTCGTTCCTATCAAGTACAAAAGAAACTTAGTGAAGACCCTCAGCCACAGAGTTAAAGCTATATGCTCAGAAGAAGTAATTGTAGATGAATTAAGCATTGTATATGATACTTCGATCGAAAATGGCTATCCCGACAAATTTATCAGGAAACATATGACAAAGAAAGCGGAAAAGGACTACTCACTATCTGTGAACAAGAAGCCACTTTATATACGACTACAATTCATGGGCGATATACCAAGTGAGATAATTACGAGGAAATTAAGAAAATCAGTTCAAAGACCTTTTAGTGCTGGCGAACTACACTTATTATTCTCTACTAGACCGATGATGCTGCCTCGACTGAAAGATGAAGTACCTAGACTAGCCACTTCAAATTGTGTCTACCAATTCAACTGCGCTTTTGGAGCGAGTTATATCGGCCGTTGTTCTAGGAACTTGATTTTTGGTTCTCGGGAACATCACCCACTGTGGCTAAGTAAAGGTGTAGTGAAAACAATTAACTGTTTGATACTGGATCATCTGGTGCAAACCGGCCACAAAGCCAGCGTGGAAGAGTCCTTCTTTATCATTTACCGAGTGATAAATTAATTGCCAAAATCATCGAAGTACCACATGTTCCAAACAGCAGAGGCTATTGCAATTCGCCTCAAACAACCAGTGCTCTGTGTTCAAAAGAGGCAAGTCCATCCCCTACTACTGCCCTGGCCTTCGGTAGAGACTATAAATTCATGAATTTGTTATATTCTCTTTCCTAATTTTTCTGACATTCAGCTTATTTTATGTTGATGCTATTGAGCTGTAATCTATCAAAAGTATTGATTCGATGTTACTTAAACAATATTAATGTTGTTCATAACACTAATTCATTCGTTCACTATAATGTATATATAACTGTAGAGCCTGAAGTTAAATTTTCGTTTCTGTTACTTTGTTGAGCAAGTGTACTTCACAGCAGTAGATAAAAAAACTTACAGAAAACTTTAGTGGATGACATTCCGTGAGATAAATAATAAGTATATGGAGAATAATGAAGATTTAATGACAGTGAGAGATTACAAAGAGTGAATGCACCTGCTCTACTGAGAACCATTTTAATTCACGAACAGTCTCCGGTCATTGAATCTTAGTATTTTAACAATCCTAGCTAGGCAGTCTGGTGCAGCACTGGCTGAATAGTAGAATGTTTGCTAACCGCCCACGTGGCCGGGTGTTCACTTCCCAGTTGATGCACTCCTAAAATTCCCTAAGACGGTAGTAAGCCTGGTAAAAAATGAAGGTTTCGCTTGAATTTAGCAGCTCCACCCTAAAAAATAACTCCACAGCTATTGAAACTTCAAAGCTGTAGTTTGAGGCCCTACGTTACGCTCGAAACGTGAAGGAATTAAGAAAAAGCCAGATAGTCTGCACCTCCTTACGTGGCTCAAAACATCTGTTAGAGACATCAACCTCAACTCTGTTCCAGCCCATTCATATGTCAGTTAAAATTTCTCGTCAAGGAAGGCAACGGAGCGATATGCTCGACACGTGTTCTAGCCATCTCAATCGGTGTAGCTTAATGACCTAATCGACTGATTAGCCCTGATTCCTGTGGATTATGTACATGAAGAGGAACCGTACAAAAATATTTAACTGACTGAAAAGTAATATTGGTTGTTTTGTTTAAGGAATTATACTAATGTAAAACGTATAGAAGTACAAGTTTTCTTATGATTATTGCTCATACATACATAGTGACGATAAACACGTTATATACACTGGTAATAAGCTATTCTTCCTATTCTACTCATGACTCGCTTTTTCTGAAATCCGGATCTTCTACCAGTTGATTTAGTCTAGAAGAGAAATCTTTGAGGATTTCTTTCTACTTTAACTGAGGCATGTCCTTTTCTTTTGGTAGTCGTGACGAGTGAGGTCCAATTAGATGTCACGTGTGTGGATGGATGTCCCACCAACGACAATGGTTGGGGTGGCGCTAAATCACGAATTGGTAGAAGTTAGAATTCATGGGCTGGCCATTGAATCGGGTCCCAGTGGCTGAATGGTATACGAGCTTGCCTTGTAACTGGAAGGTCCTGGGTTCGAATCCCAGTGGGTGCTTACTGCCGGTGATTCTCAAACTAGGATGAAACATCTGTCCAGTACTCCAGTGTTGGTTTTCAATGGTTCTCTTACTGATATCAATCTGTGATCAACTCGTAAAAAGTAAGCCTTCTGTTACTGTGGCTGGTGAGTATTTATTTATTTGAAAAAATATCTGCAGTGAATATCCCTTAATCATCGATAAGTAAATGATTCTGCTGATATACTATGTGAGAATTAAAATAATTGTACCTTAGATTATCAAAGAACAAGTACACCTGTGTGATTTATTTTAGTAACCGACATTTTTATCAGAATCATTAAGCAAACTATCAACCGACAGCACGTATTACTAGACAAAACGATGCAAGGGTCTGAATGTTTACTTTTGAAAGCATGGCTGTGAGCAGGTGAAGAGAGGAAATCTAATCAAACATATGGAAAGGAATTCATCGTCCAACAGACAAAGACGATTTCCTAGATGTTTACTCGCCTCATCCCTATGAATTCTTTGATCACTCATAACTTCTGAGTGACGATATTGTCCTGTGTTGTAGAGTTTCTGCAATTTATCACAGGATATGTTTCATAAAAGACTTTCTTATTAAGAAACCTTAACGGGTTTGTTAGGAGAAAGTAAAGAAAGGCTACCAAGGTTTTTGCAAATAATTTCAGACAACTATGTCTGCACGAAATGCGTAAAACACACAATTCGTCCAGTAGTAATAATCGACCCAGAAGATCTAAATGATAATTCATAATACATAATATTTATGTTAAATAGCAAACAATGAAATGCCAGTTCGAAATATACACAGAGTTTTAAGATAACTAAGGATTATGCTATAATTAATTGATCAAGCATAGCACAGCAGGACATCATTTTCATAGTCGTCTAATTTCTCATCTGCACAAAAACAAAATCAAGTCATGTCTGTTACAGTTAGCCTTACTGAAGAAAGTTATTTATAAATTTCCAACTAGGAAATAAATTTTCTTCATTTTTATTGAAACTTATTTTAAGCGCCAAATGTTTGCTTTCAATGGACAAAAAATGATCGATCAATGTTATTTTCAGGGAAGGCAAATCATGTTCTGACCAAATTGCAACTCTACGCATCATCATCGAACAAAGCATGGAATGGCAATCAAATCTCTACCTCAACTTCCTTCATAGACTTTGAGAAGGCCTTCGACAGCGTTGACCGAGAAGTAATTTGGAAATTACTCGAGTACTATGGCGTACTCCAAATATTCATCATCCCTATTCAACAGCTGTACGACAACGGCACATGTCAAGTGATCCACAACGGAAAACTCAGCGAGGCGTTTGGAGTAAACACAGGAGTCAGACAAGGGTGCTTATTATCACCAATGATATTCCTAATTGTGGTGGACTGGATTATGCGTCAGACAGTAGGAAACGAGAAGACAGGGATATCCTGGACCGACGTGAAGAACCTAGAAGACCTGGATTTCGCGGATGATTTGTGTTTGATGTCACACAAAATCGAAGACTTACAAGCGAAAACCGACAAACTGGTCGAAGAAGCAGCCAGAGAAGACAGGACTCCAGGTGAATATAGACAAGACGGAGGTTATGAAAATAACCAACCAACAACAACAGCAGCAGCAACATCCACCACCAATCACCATCAACGGGAGGGATTTGAAAGAGGTTACTTCATTCACTTATCTAGGGAGCATTGTCTCAACTACAGGAGGAACGGACGAAGATGTCAAATCGAGAATCGGGGAGGCGAGAAACACATTGATCAACCTGAAACCAATCT